CCTTCCATTTGAGGTGAAGCACTATCTTGAAAAAATAAACCCCATGGTGTTGGAGCATCCATTTGTATATTTCATACATTATAATTTACAAAAAACATAATTATCTATCTATTCTAATTTATCTTAGTATTTTTTTTCTTATTTAATATAAATCATAATTATTATTTGTATATTAAAGAGTAACCATTTCATGATTTGATATATAAATTATAAACCTGTCTACTTTCTATTTTTAAAGCATTTTTTCCTAGTTCAAATGCAAAACCTAAAGTTAACACAAGAAAAAATACTAACATTATCGATAAACCATATATTCCATTAGTATAAGAACTTACTGCATAAGGATAAATTAATAAAATTTCTAAATCAAATAATAGAAACAATAAAGCAAAAATAAAAAAAGATATACTAAATTGTGTTCTATTTTGACCTAAAAAAGAATGAAAACCACATTCAAAAGCACTATCTTTTTCTTGGTATGAATTATGCGGTGAAAGTATTAAATTTACTGCTAGTAATATTATAGCTAACACAGGTATTAAAAATAAAAAAAAGTCGTTGTTGTCATTGTAAAAAAAAAATTTTTTAATTCAAAAAAAAATATAGATATATAATTTATTTGATGATGTATTTTGTTTAATTGATTTTTATTAACTTATTTATACATATAAGAAATTTATCTTCAAAGTAATTATTAAAATTATTACTAAAATTATTACAGTATTTAACTAAACATAGCTTAATTATGCAACATATAATAACAAAAAAGCCATCATTAAAGCAAATAATCCTGTTGCTTCTGCAAAAGCAAAACCTAATATAGCATATGAAAACAACTGTCCTCTTAATGATGGATTTCTAGCTACACCTAGTATCAATGCCCCAAAAACAACACCTATACCTACTCCTGCACCTATTAAACCTGTTGTAGCTAAACCTGTTCCAATTATTCTTGCTGCTTGAATCATAATTATATCATAATATATATGATACAAATCCTAAATATAAAAAATATTTTTCTATATATTATTATTCCTACCTCACCTACCCTAACCCTACGACCTCCCAATGTTTATCCCACCAACCTACCCATATTTTTTCTCCAACCTACAAACAGAAATTTTTATGTTCCTGTAGTATAATTTGTATTAATTATACCTATATTGTGTTATACATTATCATTTTAACATACCATAACCCGTTATTATGATTGTAACGGTAAACTAGCAAAAGCATGAGGTTTAGGTGGACTAGTTAAACATCACTCTAAAGAACTATTATTTCTAGTAAAGTATACTTGGAATGTATCACTGAATAATTGTGGAGTTAATCAAGGATATCTTGATACAGCCTTACCTTCTGTTAATTGTTTATAAATAATAGTTAAGAAATATCATGTAGCTACAACACTAATAATAGAACCTATACTACTAATTAAATTTCAACCATAGAAAGCGTCAGGGTAATCACTAATTCTTCTAGGCATACCTTGTAAACCTAAAAAATGTTGTGGGAAGAATGTTAAATTAACACCAACAAATAAAATTCAGAAATGTACTTTAGCTGCGAACTGATCATAAGATAAACCTAATATTTTTGGTATTCAGAAATATCAACCGCTAAATAATGCAAAAACAGCACCCATAGATAATACATAGTGGAAATGAGCTACCACATAGTAAGTATCATGGAAAGCAACGTCAAGTGATGCGTTAGCTAAAACAACACCACTTAATCCACCTATTGTAAATAATACAACAAACCCTAATGCAAATAACATAGGAGGTGTTAAATGTAAAGATCCTCCGTAACATGTAGCTAATCAACTAAATATTTTAATACCTGTAGGTACAGCAATAATTAAAGTAGCAGCTGTAAAGTAAGCTCTAGTATCAACGTCTAAACCTACTGTATACATGTGATGACTTCAAACTATGAAACCCAATACACCTATAGACATCATAGCATAAACCATACCTAAATAACCAAATACATTTTTACTTGATGCTGCAGAAATTACTGTACTAATTATACCAAATCCTGGTATAATTAAAATGTAAACTTCAGGGTGTCCAAAAAATCAGAATAAGTGTTGGAATAAGATAGGATCACCTCCCCCTGCTACTTCAAAGAATGATGTATTAAAGTTTCTATCTGTTAAAATCATAGTTATAGCACCTGCTAATACTGGCAATGATAATAATAATAATACAGCAGTAATTATTACTGCTCATCCAAATAAAGCTAATTTGTGTAAACGTATTCCTGGACTTCTCATATTTAAAATAGTTGTTATAAAATTAATAGCACCTAACATACTACTAATTCCACTTAAGTGTAAACCAAATATAGCTAAATCTACACTAGGTCCACTGTGTGATTGTATACCTGATAAAGGAGGATATAATGTTCAACCTGTACCTGCTCCATTTTCTATTGTTGCTGAAAATATAAATAAAAGTAAACTAGGTACTAATAATCAAAAACTTATATTATTTAATCTCGGGAATGCCATATCTGGACCTCCTACTAATAAAGGTAGTAAAAAATTTCCAAATCCTCCGATTAATGCAGGCATAACCATAAAAAAAATCATCATTATAGCGTGAGCTGTTATTATACTGTTATATAATTGATTATCTGAAATATATTGTACTCCCGGTCCTGATAATTCTAATCTTATAAGTACTGAAAAAGCTGTACCTATTAAACCTGAAAATAATGAAAACATTAAATATAACGTTCCTATATCTTTAGCATTAGAAGATAAATATCATCTTTCTTGTCACTCCGTGGGTTGTTTGAAAGTTAAACTTGACGCAACATTTTCATTAGTTAATTCTATGTGTTTTACTGTATCATTACTTTGATAAGAAGAACTAGTAGAATAACTACTTTCCTGCGAATAGTTGGTTATAGAATTATTAACTGGCAAAACTAGTTATAATTAATTTTTTCCTAGGATAACTAAAAAAAAGTTACATATTAATGTATTTATAGAAATATATAGATATTTATATATACAATAAAAAAAATATTATAAAATAAAAAAATTTTTTAATTTAATTAAAAATAAAATAAAATAAACATACTGTAAGAAAAAAAATAAATGCTGTAATAAAATATAAAAATAAATATATAAATATTATAATATACTAAAAATATTTGTAAATATTTATTTAAGTATATATAAATTCACATAATTAAGGATATATTGAATGAAAGTATAATGAGTAACAAAAAAAACTTTGTTACCTAGGGAGGGTACCTAGAATCGAACTAGGATATACTATGCCACATACAGCCGTTCTACCATTGAACTATACCCACCTAATATAAGTAAAAATATTATTAAATCTAATAATATTTTTATTTATATGTTTTGTTAATAATTTTATTATAAATTAATAAATCTTTATAACGTATTACACATATCACATCTTTAAATAGACCCTTAATGTTAATAAATAAAAAAAAATGCTAAAATTATCTATAATTTAATAGCCAGAAGAGAAATTCGAATTCTCATTCTTAATTCATGAAATTATTGTTCTACCTATTGAACTATCCTGGCAAATATAATATTATTATATTTGTTTTATGTTGGGGCGACTCGAACACCCAATAGTAAATACCAAAAATTTATGACTTACCTATTAGTCGACAACATAAAATAAATTGCAAATATATATATATATAAATATGGATAACAAGACTTGAACTTGTAAAGTAAAAACTATTCCGTCCTAAGCGGAACCTGGTTACCAATTTCAGCATACCCATATATTATATACCCGTTTAGCCATATACCCGTGTTTTGCTCGAGATAAGATTTGAACTTACAACCTAATCAGCTTCAGTGATTCGCTCTACCAATTGAGCTTCTCAAGCCTTAATGTTTATGGAGTTATCAGGACTCGATCCTGAAATAACGATATGCAAAATCGCCGTTTTACCAGTTAAACTATAACCCCTTAATATATCCGAGAAACGATTCGAACGTTTACGACCTGCGTCACTCAAGCTTAAGTTGAGACTGTCTACCAATTCCAGCACTCGGACTATAAGACTAAAATGATTTGAACATTTACTCAAACCATCATGAGTGGTTCGCTTTACCGATTAAGCTATAGTCTTTTGCGGATTTAGGAGTTGCACCTAAAGCTTGTGGACATGAGCCACATATGTTTCTATTACAACAACCCGCATTTAACTTTATAACCATTTTAATTCAAAATCGTTTAGACTTTAAGAGATAGGCGATTTGAACACCTGACCTTTCGCGTGTAAAGCGACAGCTCTACCAACTGAGCTAATCTCTTTTATTTATTTAACCCAAGGGAGATTCGAACTCCCGCACTAACAGTGAAAATGTTATGTCTTAACCACTTGACCATTGGGTCTTTATTATAATTATACATACATATGTAAATATGTATTTAAAGCCTTATGCAAGTATCGCACTCACTTCTACCGATTACAAAACGGTTGCATTACTTTTATGCTAAAAAGGCTAAATAAAAAAAAATTTATGTGTAATTTTTAGTATATTAAATATTAGTACTTTATATCTAAAAATGTTACATTAGTACAACTAAAGCCTATGAATTATTATAATAATATATAATAATTATACTCGTAGTGTTCTTCTACGTTTAAAAGTATAATAAAGTTTGTTTCGCGTTTGAAATGCTTTCAACGCTTATCTTATATCGATGTAGCTTTCCTGCTATGCCTATAGGATCAAAAAGCTTTAGTATAAGCTCTCGATATATAAATATATATATATATATATATTTATATATACTATAAACAACAGGTAAACCATAGATCAACGTACCCAACTCCTTTCGTACGAAGGGGCTATCTCTAACCTACTTTGACTTCCTCTAGAAGATAGAAACCATACTGTCTCACGACGTATTAAACCCAGCTCATGTAGCTCTTTAATCGACGAACAGTCGAACCCTTCATGATTTCTACATGCACGAGGATGAGCTAAGCCGACATCGAGGTGCCAAACCGCGCACTCAATTTGTACTCTCTTGCGCAAATTAGCCTGTTCAATTTATGTTATCATAAAAGATTTTGCTTTTATTTCCATTTTTCTCAAAACGGTTCAGACTATTTCATCATCTTTATTAATTATTATTAAGAAAGGGAAAATTGAAAAAAATTTTTTTTTATATACTACTTATTCAACCTTTAACTCCAAAAGCTCCAACACGGGAAGTAGAATTTATCACAGAATGTTGAATATTAGGTTTATAGTTTTTTCTTATCATTGGTGTAGAACCACCCAAAACTGAAGAATAAATATTTTTTAATTGTCCTTTATGTTTAGTTCTACGTTGAGATCTTGTAGCTGTAAAACGTTTAGATAATCTACCTGCAACTTCTAATCTAATACCTGATATTTTTTTATATTTTATATTATTTAATATAATTTTATTCAGGTATTTTGTATTTGTTTTATCTTGTTGCATTAGATCATTTATTAAATTATTAGTATCAAAATTATTTATAGTAAAAAATTTTTTTGATTTTTTAATTAATTTAATTTTTTTAATTTTTGCATTATCTATTAAAAATTTAAGATATGCTGGTACTTTTCTTTTTCTTCTTATTTTTAATTCTAATGGTTGTGTTAAAATTTTACTATTAAAATTCAAATATTTTAAATTTATTATATTAAATTCAACATTTTTATTAAAAATTTTTTTTATTAAATTAATTAAACCTTGTAGATAAGAATTTTCAAATTTTGCCTTATTTATATAAATAATTTGTTTATAAAACAAATAATATTTTAACATTTTTAAACTTTTTTTTATAAATCTTTTATAAAAAATATTTTGTATTGAATGTATTTCTGAATTATATTTAGGTAAAACATTTATTAATTTTGTACTTTTTTGTTGTTGTAATATATTTAATCCTACAAATTTTATATATTTTAATCTTTTACTTAAAGAACTTTTTTTTAATAATTTATTATATTTGTTTTCTAATTTAATTAAATAATTAAGTTTTTGTCTATTATATACATATAATGTTATATTTACTTTATCATTAGTATGTTTAAATTCTCCATCACTAATAAATATTTTATTACTTGACATTTTTCTATATCTACGAAGTAACATTTTTTTCTTTTTCTTACTAAAGATTCTAATTCTAAATGATATGAATTAAAATATCCTTTAATTAATTTCATAACATATTTACTTTTAATAGAAATTAAACTTATAGTATTTTTATTATAAACATATATACTACTTTTTCAATTTCTTACTACAGGAATTATATCTTTATTATTATAAACTTTATAATTATCTAAAGATTTTTTATTATATGTATTATTTAATTTTGATTTTATAATATTTAACATAAATATAAATATTTAAATATTAATATAATTAATATAATTAATTATATAACATTAAAGCCTGGAAAAACCAAGTCTATTACATTATTATCATTTTTATAGCAATAATAATTTTTATACCAATAAAATTAATTAGATTATATATATTGTAACTAATAAAGATGTTGGGCATAAATTAAAAAAGGATTATTGTTAGCAATACTCACCTTTTAGTCGTTGAACGTCCTTATTTTGTTTTATCTTAACGATAACATTCGCTAAAAATAAGTTTCGCTTCAAATACACTTAAAAAAATATAAGCTGTTTTTGAAATTTACCCAATATATTACTAATATTTTTTAATATTAGGGGACTCACAGTCATAAATCCCTAGCGTAACTTTTTCTTTAATCCAAGACCTTTCCTTAATGCATCTTGTGATCATATGCCCCGCTTACGCGACTGATAGACTTGTAAGTCAAACAGTAAAGCAAGATTAAGCCATTAAACTTTTAAAGTATTAATAAGCATTATATTAATATAGGTAAAATACTATATTAATATAACAATAAAAACTTTTATATATTAAAGTTAAAAATACATCTATTTCCCACATAGTTAAAATCTTACTTAATATCAAACTATGTGAACTTAATCGAAGTATAAATGTATAATTATGATTATAATTATAGCAAATTAAAATATTTGTATATAAATATACAAATTTACAGAATTAACTTTGGATATACCCAGGTACTTTTTGTGGGATCTGTGCCCCGCATAAACTGCCTTACAATCATTAAAAGTATCTATAAGGATATAAATAAAGGTGTTTCATTATTATCTTTCAACTACCTTATACACTATAAATGATCCTGGTTTTTCACTCTTATAATTGCTAACAGTAAAGCTGCATAGGGTCTTCTCGTCTATCTAGAGGTAAACAGTATCTGCACTGCTATTCCAATTTCACTGAGACAATCATCGAGACAGCTGTTGTATCGTTAAATCATTCATGCTGGACCGCATTTAACGGCCAAGGTATTTCGCTACCTTAGGACCC